TCTCTTTGGCAACCCATGGACCGAGCAAACTAAATGGCCAAATGTCCCAGTTTGGCCCATTTGCCCATGCAAACCTCTGGCTGCTATTGCAGTAGGAAGTAATTTATTAGTGGTGGTATTACTACTCACATGTTGGCTGCATCCTAGCAACCAAGGACTCTGTTGAGCCTGGACCATCTGCGTCCTAGCAACCAAGGACTCTTTTGAGCCTGGACCATCTGCGTCCTAGCAACCAATAACATCATTGGTTGCTCGGATGCCAACAACTGCATAGTCAGTTGTTTTATGGTGCATCAAAACAGCTAATGACACAGTGCAAAATAAATAAATAACTGTTCCCCCCACAATTCAAGCCAGAACTTTATCCTAGATAGGGGCCTTTTATAGATTTTAAGGGTTACCCTATGCAAAAAAAAAAAAATTGGGTCCTCTCTCAAGGTTTGGTATGGATTTTAGAGGGGATCACATACTTTTTTCTGTTTTGTGCAAGGTTTTATTTTATAATCCATACAAGACCCTCATCAACGATAAGGGTCTGGTTTGTATCTTTAGGGGGAACCCCACATGTTATTTTCTTTAGTCATTAGATGTTCGAATCTACCCTAAAAATCAAGATGGCAAACTAATACTGTATATAGCAATCTTTCAAAAAAAATGAAAACGTTTTCAAAGCCACCCAGACTAACAAATATATGAAACAAATACTGAAGAAACAAAAAGAATCCCAAAAGCGAAATGGTTCAACGTAACAAATATCATGAAATTAGATCCTCCAATGAACGAATACATTTGAAACTAAACAAAACTAAATTTTCTGGCGGGCACATTTCTAATTTTCTTTTTTTTTTTTTTTCTTTTCATGGAAACCCTCCTTACAATCCACATTAGACCATCATCTAGGATGATCAGTCAAGGTACCCTATCAAATTCTGCACAATATTGAGGCACCACATTTTAAAATGTAAAAAAAAAAAACTAATAGTTTTACATAATTCAGCAACTTCTATACTCCATTAAAGGTGATTTATTCTTCCAAAGCAAACACACCTTTACACACTGGTACTGACTAGTATTCCAGTGTTTCTCTTCTCCCTCAATTTCTCTCTATCTTTCAGCTAATGTGAACCCAGTGTTGGAGAGGGATGAACAAAGATGCCGTGCAGATACCCAACATTCGTCTTATCAACCAGTGACGTCACTGGTTGTCAGAAAGCCGGAGGCTGGAAGGTTGTATTGGAGCACAATTAAAAAATGTGGCTTTGTGTAAATAAAAGGCAGACTTCATCCACCCGCTGGCGATTCTTGGACAATTTTTAGGCATTTTACCAAGGCACCCCGGAAGAAACCTAAAGGCAACCCAAGGTGCCTGGTCACCCAGGTTGAAAAAGGCTGATCTAGGATAAGGATTCATTATAGATGCTGAGGGAAAACCCAGATGCTTCAAGCTACTATTTAAGGATTGTCAAACAAATGGTAAGGGGGGTCTGGCACTGCCAGAGGCAAAAAAAAAAGTTTTGCGAGGAGCAGCACATTTAATATGCTTTAAGTAAAAAAAATTAAAATGCACAATTCCTTTGAAAAACATGCTGGGGGATGCCTTAAACCTGCCTGTGAAGTGGTTTCAACTGTACAATGTACTGCACCAAAACTGACATTTACAATAGAAAAAGGAAATTTAAATAGCTGGTGAATGACATTTCCCTACCATCTTGCCTATTTTTGAAAAAAATAATGCAAGCATCCCCATCCCCGAAAACACGTACCAGACTTTGGTGACCTTTGGGGTCCCCATCTATTTTTTTTTTAACACAGAAATTAAGCCACCAGGGAAATGTAATTTATCAACAAACATTTAAAATTGCTGGGGGTTCCCCTAAAATGCACAACAGACTCCTATCTTTTCGAAGGGTCTGGAATGGATTTAAATGTACTAGGGTCGTTGGTTCGAATCCCAGCCATGGCACCTCCTGCCTGGAGTTTGCACGTTCTCCCTGTGCCTGCGTGGGTTTCCTCCGGGTACTCCGGTTTCCTCCCACACTCCAAAGACATGCTGGTAGGTGAATTGGATCCTGTCTAAACTGGCCCTAGTATGTGTATATATGAATGTGAGTTAGGGACTTTAGATTGTACGCCCCTTGAGGGTTAGGGACTGATGTGAATGTACAATATATATGTAAAGCGCTGCGTAAATTGACGGCGCTATATAAGTATTTGAAATAAATAAATAAATGGAGACCCCAGAACCATACTAGACCCCAGAGCCATAGGCATATACTCTCTCTCTGGTCATCACTCCAGGGGCTTTTTTTTTTTTTTTGGATGCAGAGGAAATAAAATGAATATGCAATGAGGCTCTTTTACTAAAGGAAAGGAGAATGTTCACACAGTAAATTGTATACAGATTCACTTATCCAATCATGTGAAATGCAAATGCCTGTTTTCATCTGCACATAATTGAAGTGAGTCTTCATACAATTTATTGTGTGAACATTCCCAATTCCTTGCAGTTTATTGTGTGAACATTCTCAAATGCTTTAGTAAATCAACTTCACTAATGGAGACTACAGCAGGGGAATTAGGAGATTGTCATATATACAAGTAAATAGGGTTTTCTTTTGCGGGAAGCTCTTTTTCCCAGATGTCTACTGCAACAATTGAGTCCCTTTTTAAAAATACAATGTATCAGTTTTAATTTAAAAAACGCACAATTGAACTTGCATGTCTCATACTGAATACATCATCCATATGATATCAGTCAGTGGTGAAATGACTTTATCTGACATATACTGTAATAGTGGCTGGTTACACTGTTCAACAAAATTTTTATATTTTGCCAGTTTTGGAAACAAAAGGATCCATTTCTTAATGAACTTCACATTCTGAGTTCAAATATAACAATGAAATTTGTCAATTGGCTCTAGTTTTTCTGTAAACTGAAAGTTTTCTACTATAGGCGTAATGACTACATAATGCACAATAATTATATAGATAGATGTCTTTCCACAAATATAAAGCAAGTGATATTGACTACATAACAAAGCCTAAATGGCATAATATATTGCATAGGATTACCAAGAAAAATTATAGCCATAAGCTAAGTTGAATCATTTTAATACTTAGGATTCTCACTAGTTTTGTCTTCAGTTTGTGTCGGTTTTGCTTCTCTTGGCTTTTCTCTTGTATTCGAGGAAAGGGCTATCTCTTACAACTGCACGTGACTACACGCTTCAGGTTCTTCCTCACTTGACTCAACCACGAAGGATTCTGGTGCTTTAGGAATTAGTAGCCCCTCTCCATGAGGAACTGGACGTATTGCCGATGGAATATTTGGATAGTGCACAGATAACTTTTTTCTTCTTATTTAGCCCTTTTACAATTGGAGGCACCATACAAAAGTAACAATTACTAACATGATCTGTTGGCTCTCTCCAAATCATTGGCACAGCGAAAGGGATAGATGCCTTTTTTCCATTCAACCATTGCTCCAGTGCCGTCCCACAAGAATTGCAGCATATATGTGGTGCCCAGCTCTTGTCCTGGTCTCCTATCTTGCAGCCAAAATACAAGTTGTAGGCTTTCTTAATCATTCCTGTTATCCTCCTTTTTTGTGAGATAAAAGTTATTTCACCGCAGATATAGCAGAAATTATCTGCTTTATTCACACAAGTTCGAGGCATTACTGAGTAGCCTATATAAGCATAAAACGAAATGTAAAGACGCTGTCGAACTACAATCAGCTACAGATACTGCAGCTTTTATGCAGTGAAGTGATGCAATTAAAGGCTAATATTGCATCATCTCAGTATACATGCAATTTTCTATTGGTCACCAGTATCAACTGCGCAATATGCAGCTGAAGTTGCATCATAATTTTGAATGGCTTACGTCATTAGATGGGTGAATATATCATGGAAACTAGAGCCAATCAACATTTTTTTAGGGTCATTTTCGTTTTCAGCACCCCAAAATTATGTAAGATTAGCTAATTTTATGCCCAAAACTTTTTACCTGTTGAACAGTGTTATCAAACACAAATGTTTCATCTTTATTAGGTGTATTGTACAGAATAGTTATATTAAAAATCTTGATCAAACTATGTAAACTACTTGATTTCATTGCCATACTTGAGATATTATGGAGTTCATTTTTTTTTAATTATTGTGCTGGGGCCATACTTTTTGCATTAATAGGTTTATTTGCTTTAAATTGACTGTGACTGTATTAATCATTTCATTCATAGGATAAATAAGACAGGGGAAGCACAGCCAATAATCAGATGACGTAAAATCTCAAAATACTTAGATGCTATTATTAGTAGAAGAATTAGGTATTGCAAATAGATGATGAACAAAGTGCCTAAAACCCATAACAGCCAATAAGAAATTATTTCTTTACTGATGTGGTTTTAACAGAAATTTGATTGGTTGCTCCGGGTTGCTTTGACATTTCATATACACCAACCGATCAGCGACTGCTGCCCCCCTCTGTCAATCCCTTTACTGGCTTTCACTAACCCAACGTATAAAATTCAAAATACTAACCACAACATACAAAGCCATCCACGACACTGCCCCTAACTACATCACCAACCTCATCCGTAGATGTCGTCCAAATCGCCCACTCCACTCCTCCCAAGACATCTTGCTCTCTAGCTCCCCTGTCACCTCCTCCCATGTTCACCTCCAGGACTTCTCCAGAGCCTCTCTCATCCTCTGGAACTCCCTACCCCAGTATGTCCAGTCAGCCCCCACCCTGACTGCCTTTAGATGATCTTTGAAAACTCACTTATTCAGGGAAGCCTACCCCACCTCCACCTTAGAACTGTACTTGAACTACCTCCATCAGATCATCGCCTGCAGCTATCACCTTTTGTATCACCTCCCCCTTCCTTTAGATTGTAAGCTGCACGAGCCAGGGCCCTCCTATTCCTTCTGTACTGAAATGTATTGTAATTGTACTGTCTCCCTTTATATTGTAAAGTGCTGTGAAAACTGTTGGTGCTATATAAATCCTGTATAATAATTTGCTGTAACCTCCTCAATAGTACATATATATACATGTATATATGGACCTCTTCTTACCTTGTTACGAAGATCCTCAATGACCTTGTAGTACTGGCTGTAGTCATATGATGGGCTGGGGGCTTGCTTCTCATACCATTCCCTGATGTTGATCTCTAGCTCAGCATTGGCTTTCTCCAGAGAGTGTACCTTGTCCAGGTAGGAGGCCAGACGGTCATTTAGGTTTTGCATGGTCTCCTTTTCTCTTCCACCCAACAAGCCATCTCCACCTCCAAATCCACCCCCATAACCATAACCAAAACTAGATGAGTAGCTGCCACCAAAACCACCACCTAGGTCACCTAGTCCACCACCTAAGCTGCTACCAAGACCACTGACTTCAGAAGTTACCACCCTTGAGGTGGAAAAGGGAAGGTTTTTGCCACTGCCACCTTCATGAATGCTAGGTATTCCAAAGCTAACCATACCTGACCTGTTTGAGCCACCACCAAACCCACCTAGGCCCTTGATGCCATATGAAGACATTATGAGCCTTTAATGCCTGTCTTTACCTATGTGCTATCTGGAATGTTTTGAGCTGAGATTTAGAAATCCAGACTTTCAATCCTTGACTTTATATCAGAGATGTGGGCGTAATTTCTACCAAAGGATTGGTTCTTCTCTCACAAATGTTGTGTGCCAACATTTGTGAGAGAAGTGGGATTTATGATTACCTCACTGGTCTGGAAGTACAACCTTACTTACCAAAATGCTTTCACAGATACCAGAGGAGACATTGTCTGTGTGTGCACATTGCTGGTTCCTGAAACAAAAGGTCTGATTCAGTTTGAGTTAAGGTGGTTCCTGTCTTCAGGCTATGCATTTGATATTCTTGTATTCTTAACCAGGAAAAACAATATGGTCACCCCTCCCTACTCTCAAAAGTTTAGGAATTCAGCCTGAAATTAGATGTTGTGTTGTTCTAGAGAACAATTCATACCTCCATCTTTGATTGTGTTAACTCTTAAGGCATTGATTAGAGTATCTAGTAACACTCATTAGAGCCTATCTAAAGCCAATAACTTTTTAAATTTAGGACAGAGTGGTAAAGAGAAAAGACCTCTGTCATGTTTTTACCTCTCTGTCTGTGTCCTCGTTGGTGTGACTCACTCTCTGCATTTGTACTGGTCACCATCGTCACCAAAGTAGAAAATGTTTGGAAATCCAAATTTTTCAATTCTCATCAGAAGGGGAAATCTTTTAATGAGGAGAGAGTTTGGAGGGATTTCCACTCATTTCCTGTTGTGTCTGCACAACAGAAATAAACATTTTTTTGCCAATGGGAAAGATTTACCTTCAGTTGTCACCAAAATATGTCGCCTGACAGTTTTTTTTTAAACATTTCCTCCAAATTAAAAAAAATAATTTTGTCTTTAGATACTGTACACCAATAAAATGAATAAATGACTTTGTTCGTGTTTGTATGGAGCCAAATGCAAATAATCTGTATGACAGTATTTAATACAAGAATTTAAATTATTTTTCTTTAGTACAGTTGTCCTTTAAATAAAGCCCCCACACCTCCTCAGCAAAATCAACTAGATCAAAGACCTTCTTTGCTCCAGCAAACTTTACTGCTCAACCCTGCCAGGCACTGTACAGCTCTTGAAAGAAAATTGTTCTGGTAGGGTCCTCTTCCTAATGTGCATGCATGTTCCAACCCTATTCATTGCTATGGGTGAGCCAAGCTCATGGCAACTTCCAGCCATCCAACAGAGTATCACTCATCCATAGAAATGAATGGGGCCATGGAGCAGTAGAAAGAGGACCTTCCCAGCATGTTTTCTGTCCAAAGGCGGAGCAGCACCAGGCAGGGCTGTACAATAAAGATTGCAGGAATTCGGAATAAGGAAAGTATTCTATCCTGACTACTGCCTTCGGTGGTGGTGGTGGGGTTTCTGTTACTAACACTAGTATTGATACTTTTGCTACCACCATTACTATTACTACCATTACCACTACAGCTACGTACAATAATAATATTAATAATTATATGCTGGGAAAAGAGAGAAGCGTGAGCTACAATGTTTGGATGACATCAGTGCTTTCATTGTTTGAATTTGAGGATACGTTGCTCTCCACTGTGTCGTCAGTGTGGGCTTACTTTGAAGCTCATTTACTGCTTGTTAAGAAACCCAGATTCACTTTAAAGTTGTACATGTTTTTCTTGTTTATTGTGGTCAAAAATATTATATATATAATTAAAATATTCCTCTAAAAAAATATACTTGCTTCAGATACATTTGGTATTTTATATTCTCCTTTAACTCTAGCAGGTGAAGCTTTAGGTGCCTTTTCAATGTTTATCTATTTGTCCTTCTGTTAAAGCTTGTTTACAGATCTCAGTAGCTCAAGCTAAAATTTACAAACACACGCCTCCCTTATTGGGAAGCTCAGTTTAAGAAAGAGCACTTTTCTGCCTGATTGGAGATAACTACTGAAGTGCAGTCTCTGCAGGTGAATCTTTAAGTACCTTTTCAATGTTTATCTATTTGTGCTTCTGTTAAAGCTTGTTTACAGATCTCAGTAGCTCAAGCTAAAATTTACACAAACACTCCTCCCTTATTGGGAAGCGCAGTTTTAGAAAGAGCACCATTCTTCCTGATTGGAGATAACTACTGCAGTGCTGTCTCTGCAGGTGAAGCTTTTAGTACCTTTTCAATGTTTATCTATTTGTGCTTCTGTTAAAGATTGTTTACAGATCTCAGTAGCTCAAGCTAAAATTTACACACACACCCTCCCTTATTGGGAAACGCAGTTTAAGAAAGAGCGCCATTCTACTTGAATGGAGATAACTACTGCAGTGCTGTCTCTGCAGGTGTATCTTTAAGCACCTTTTCAATGTTTATCTATTTGTCCTTCTGGTAAAGGTTGTTTACAGATCTCAATAGCTCAGGCTAAAATTTACACACACCCCCCTCCCTTATTGGGAAGCTCAGTTTAAGAAAAAGCATCATTCTGCCCCACATGGAAGAAAAATATATTTTAAAAATACATTCTTAATATATTCTTCCCAAATATATTGACATATATTTCAAATACTACAATTTTGGCCATATTCAATACATTTCAAAAATATATTTCAATATATTTGTGAATATATTATTAAAAATATATTCAGAACACATGCTGAAATATATTTCAAAGTGTAATTTTGGAAGGAATTTACAAGTATATTTAAAAAATCTATGTTTAAATGCATTTTTTTTAGATGTTCAAAAATATCTGGAAAATATATTTTTAAAAATATATTTTTTAAATATATGCCTTTGGAAAATATATTTTAATTTACATTTTTGGAATACATGTTAAAATATATTTGTGTAGGCCAATATATTGTAAATATATGTCACATGTGTAGTTTTTTTCTATATATATTGGAAATTTATTTCTCTTCCATATGGGGCCTGAATGGAGATAACTACTGCAGTGCGGTCTCTGCAGGTTAATCTTTAAGTACCTTTTCAATGTTTATCTATGTGTGCTTCTGTTAAAGCTTGTTTACAGATCTCAGTAGCTCAGGCTAAAATTTACATACACACTCCTCCCTTATTAGGAAGCTCAGTTTAAAGAGAGCACCATTCTGCCTGAATGGAGATAACTACTGCAGTGCTGTCTCTGCAGGTGAATGTTTCACCACTTCCAGTCCGGACACTTTCACCCCCTTCCTGTCCAGGCCAATTTTCAGCTTTCAGTGCTATCACACTTTGACAAACAATTACGTGGTCATGCAACACTGTACCCATATGAATTTTTTAGCATTTTTTGAAACAGATAAAACTTTATTTTGGTGGTATTTATAAACCACAGGGATTTTTTTTTTATATATATAAATGAAAAAGTCCAATCATTTTGAAAAAAAAAGTGTTTTTCTTATAAAATTTTGCAAATAAATAATCTTTCTCTATAAATCTTGGCCAAAATGTATTCAGCTATCTTTTTAGAAAAAAAAAAAATTAAACCCAAATTATTTTATAACCAAAAATTATAATTTTTCAAAACATTTTTTTACATTGTTATTTTATGTTTTTATATTATTATTTATGCTTTGCTTTTTTTTTTTAAACATACTGTCACCCTAGCAGTACAGGTTTTTTTTTTTTTACACTGATTGCTTTTACACCCATAAAGGCTGTAAAAGCAATAATTTCTCCTTCTCTCTGGCTGCATTCTTGCAGCTATTGAGAAATACTGTGAGAGCTGTGATTGGTCACAGCTTGTCACAGGGTACAAGGCTGTTGTGTATGGCCTTGTACCATGTGACCTCTGTGATCATTCACAGATTTCACTAATAGTAAGCAATGATGTCAGCAAGTGACATCTTGCTTACTACTATTCATGTGATCACTGATTGGCCAACCAGTGATCACATGATCGGGATCTCACACAGAGGTCCCGTACAGTGGGCACTGGATCACGGTGCGCTCGCTCCCATGGAGGGCACACAGGCAGGGAATGCGGGAGGACGTTTTTAAACGGCCACCCGCTCCTGCACTGCTCCCATCCAGCCTTTTATGCACATGGGCCAGACGGGAAGTGGTTAAGTGCCTTTTCAATATTTATCTATTTGTCCTTCTGTTAAAGGTTGTTTACAGATCTCAGTAGCTCAGGCTAAAATTTACAAACACACTCCTCCCTTATTGAGAAGCTCAGTTTAAGAAAGAGCACACTTCTGCTTGAATGGAGATAACTACTGCAGTGCTGTCTCTTTAGTTAAGTCTTAATGCACTGGGAATTCTTTTTCATGTTATCTGTAAACTGTTTTTAGAAGAAAAAGTATAAAACATCAGTCTAAAAAATGTAAGCCAACAAAGAAACTAAAACACACCAAAACACAGAGGGGTAAAATAGTCCCATAAAGTGCAGTTTATTCCGAGGAATTCTGCATTCAAAAATCACACAAGACCAGGGGTGGACTGACAACTCATGGGGCCCCCAGGCAATACATCAGTCTAAATAATGTAAGCCAACAAAGAATCTAAAACACACCAAAACACAGAGGAGTAAAATAGTCCCAAAACGTGCGGTTTATTCAGAAGAATTCTGCATTCAAAAATCACACAGGACCAGGGTGGACTGACAACTCATGGGGCCCCCGGGCAATAGGGGATCATGGGGCCCCTGTGTGCTTGCCCAAACTCAAAAAAGCCTATGAAAAAGGTACCAGGGGCATCTCATGGGGCCCCCTACTGACCCCGGGCCCTCGGTCAGTGTCCGAGTTTCCAAATGGTCAGTTCGCCCCTGCACAGGACTGTAATACCACCAAGTAAAAATTTAAAAAACTATAAAATGGTGCAGCGCTATTAATAAATGACATATGGAGCAAATAACCACAGGTGAATGAACCCCCTTAAGTGACAACATAAATCAATCACTGGTGTCAAGATGCAATTGACACGCACTTAACAAGTGTGACTACGGGGTGATAAAGTCCAATATGAGCACACAGGTGAGGAACTCTTCACACGTGGATGTGTCATACGTGCCACAGGA